TATCAACATCTTCCTGGTTGTTGTATGTCTGCAGAGCATCCTCTGACCCACTGATCACACATCACTCTGTTTCCTGGGGGCTGTGGCTGGCTACTCAGCCTGCTCTTGATCTGCCCTCTGGCTCCTTGCCTGGCTGTTTCCTGGCTAACAGCTTAGCACTGAAGTTCTATTTGTTTGTTCCTAGGCTCCTGCCTGGACCCTGAGACCATCGCTGAATGCAGCTAGTCCAAGTATTCAGTCTTGAGATTTGGCTTTAAAAATGCAAAGGTTAGCATTGACAGCAACCTCTTATCTGGGCAAGAAGGATTGCTTTCCGTGGGGAGAATGCCTCTATCCAACCCAATAAGACATCTTTATGCAGCCATACCTGATCTACTTGGCATGTTGTACCCAACCCTCCTTAAATATGGCCCTCTCTTGTACCCTGCTGGATCCCGGATCTTGGACTTTCCAGACTCTAAAACTGTGAGAAAACAAATGTCTATCATTTAAGTCACCAGTCTATGGTATTTTGTTATGACAGTCCAAGCTGACTAAAACACTAAGAGATATGATCCCATCAAAGGCCTGGGAGAAAAGATTACACTCTGCAAAATGTGATGAGAATCCACTGTGCATCCTGTTCCTCTGTGTCCAGCCCCACTTCTTTAAGAAGCTTTGAAGAGACCACTCACGTCCCTTTCCCTCAATAATTCATTCTCTTTTTTTCCCCCCTCATTGAGTTTATTGTTACATTTTAGTTATACAGTACAGTTACATTCATCATTGGGAACTTGTACCTTTACATGACAGGTCTTGGTTCTCATTTTTTCCCCTTGTTCCTGCCCTTCCTTCACCCCCTCCTCCCCTTCTCAGTAATTCATTCTGCACATCTACTCAGGCCAGCACGCATCTTGATCTGATTTCTGTAGCTCAGCTTCAAGTGCTTGTCTCAGTCACCCCTGGCCCACTTGTCCTTCCCTCTTGGCCTCTCCTGAAGATGATCCTGGTGTCCAGGCTGTGCTCCCCAGCCCTGTCTCCAGGACAGAGGTCTTTATGCTTCCTTTTATGTTCCACAACACCTGATATAACTCTGGGCATGTGTTACACAGTCAGTTAATGTTGGTTAATTGAAGGACTGACTGATTGAGAGCACATTTTATAAAGTAGTGTTTTGCAGAGTGCTGTAAGCACTCTTGCACCAAAATCTTATTGGGTGTCTTCTAAAATGCAGATCTTGGACTCTACCACACACTTAGTAAATTAGAACTTCTGGGGTGTTTGTCTTGCGGTGGATGAAAGATGGCCACAAATTTTTGACACTCTCCCACTGAGAGGTGGGATCTGTTTTTCTGCTTCTTGAAACTGCCTCACAGCTGCTCTGACCACTGAATGATGCTCTAGCCAGTACCAGGATTAATCTTAGTCTCTTCACACACCTGCGCCACCAGGGCAAGGTGGAGAGATCCTAAAGGAAGTCCAGCTGAGCCAGCTTTACAGTCACCTCTCCAATTTTCTGGGCCTGTAGGCAAAGGTGTCTTCAACCCCCTAAGATGGGACCAGTCCCCGGCTGCATACGAGTGGGTGACCTGAGTCAATCACATGGAGCAGAAGAATCACTCACGAGATCCCTGCCAGAATATCTGACCCACAAAGTCAAGAAATATAATAAAAGGGCTACTTTTAAGCCCCTACATTTTGGGGCAATTTATTACATAATGACAAACAAGAATATGTAGATACCACAAATTCTCCAGATCATATTTACATGTCCTACAGTGTAAGAATTATTGTTGTAAATGAAACTGACATTTAACAAGTAAAATTTAATTTTTAAATATAGAAAGCATAATTTAATTCATGCTGTGTTCTCTACATATCCTGCAGGAAGGAAGATATGGTAAAACAAAATCTCATCATTTATGTTGTTGGCACTTACTTTGTCGGACAGCAGTCTTCTTCTGTTCAAAGCACAAACAAACAAGGGCCTCCAGCTCTCCTGAGCTTTTTGAGGCAATGTGAGTGCCACAGACAGTGTAATAAACAGTGTCACCTCAGTGGAATAAAACTCGGCTTTGGCTTCAGGATGTAGTGAGCCCTGACAACATTTGGTTTGGACCTGTTTCCTTAGTCGTGTTTCCAAGGCTGAAACTCAGATGATTTTTTTAACATTTTTTTTCTGGTTTGCCTCTTGGGAGTGTATTTTAAGACTAAGCTTGAGGGTTTCTTTCAGGTTTCAAAATGAAACCTTTAGGCTTGTAAGTCACATGACTGACCACTGCTTTTGCCATAGTTTTGGATAAAAACCACAAGACCCTACAAACCCCCACTGGGATTAGTGATTTTTGTTTTGGTTTCTCAACAAGGCAGTTTGGACAAATCTGTGAAATTTTTACGGACTCAGCAGAGATCTGTGTGAAATTCAGCATCTTCCTTGGATACTGCAGCTCAGCCTTGGTGGGTTTGGACAGATCCAGTGCTTAAAAATGGAACTCTAAAAGCATGAAACCACATGAGCCAAAAATATTTTCCAAAAATGAGTTTAACTAAGCTGAAGCTGCCAGGATGTGTGCCCTCTCTTTACAGACAAGTAAATGTGCACCTTCCAGCTCCATCCCCAACCCGCACATGGCAGCTGCAGTCACATGCCGAGCAGGGCTTTGCCTGCAGCAGGGCTCCAGCCTCTTCAGATGCCTGTCAGAGGTGGAAACACGTTTCCAAAAGCTCAACAATCCAAATCTGGCAAAGAATTGTTCCTACCATTTATTTTTATTTTGTTCATCTGGATAACAAGACGCCCATATGGTGGTATCACTTGAGGATAGCTGACAAATAAACATAATCATCCTTTAAGCCAAATAACAGGTCAGTCTGTAGCAGGACTGGACCAATTTTGCTCAAGGCTCTTGTTAAAAATGCAGATTCCCAGGCACGCTGGTTGAATCCGAATTTCTGGGTGGGAGCCCAAGAATTTTATTTTTGAAGAGTTTTTAAAATGAGTTTCTCAAATGATTGTACACATGCAAGTTTAGGAAACACTTTAGTGTTTAAAAAATATGGCACTTCTGCTCCTGGCTGAGATGGAGTAGCAGGGACTGCATTTGTCTTTCTGCTGGAAGCAACTGCAGTACTGGGCAAGAGTTCAAAGAACACCTTCCACACCAGGGAGATCAGGCGACATAGAGCCTCACCCTTGACGGGGACCAAGAGATGTGGACCCATGGAGCTCTAGCTGTGACACAGGGAGAGGGGGCCTGGATCGGGGAGGGGAGTGGCAAGATGGCCAAGAGGCACAGGGCAGATGCCAGAAAGGGAGAGCTGGACAGCACGCAGCGTATGACAAAAGCAATTTGTAAATAGTGATTACTGGAAGGTGTTTTATTCTACAAAATATTTGTATTCATTTCATTGAAAAGTCTCACACAGAAAGGGCTGCATAGCCCAAGACTGACTTTCCTCCCAGTCACACTGGGCAGCACAGGGAAGGGTGACAGAAGGACGCAGATACTACTGCCATGGACTGACTCCAAGCAGAGAACAGGTTTGCTACCTGCTCCCTTTTGTGCTTTTGAAATAAAGACATTGGCATATTATAATATGTAAAATGAGAAATTTCTGTGGCACATTAGTTGTCTCTGGAGAACAAGCCCAACAAGCTAGGATGGGTGGAGGGTAGATTGTGTCTACTATGTACTTTTTGTACCACTAAAATTTTGCTATGTGTACTGGAACCTGCCTATAATCTCAGCTGCACTGCAGGCTGAGGCAGGAGGATCAAAAGTTCCAGGCCAGGCCAGGCAATTTAGCAAGTTAGTGAGACTATCTCAAAATAAATAAAAGCTGGGGCTGTAGCTCAGTGGGTAGAGCACTTGCCTAGCATGCATGAGACCCTGGGTTCCATCCCAATTCCACAAAAAGGTGAGGGGGAAGAAAGCTCACAATACTCAAAGGAAATGTATTTCCTTTTTAATAAAAAAGTAGTTAAAATATAATATTAAAAAATGAATTACCTTAGGGATTTCTTTAAATATTTAATCAAATTTTATTTGATTTTCACAAGCTCACCTATCATATAACGCTTTAGGAAAGCATTATAATGTAAAACAATTGCTACAGTATGTACTCACATAATAGTTTCTTCTATATGTCATTTTCAATTTAATTCATCTTTTATTCATTTGGCATGGAACTCTACACCAAAAACTGACAACAAATTGCATTGTTACTGTGTTTTAATGTATTTTAAATATGAGTTTTTAAATTACTTCATTGTTTTGGGTTCTGGCCTGGTCCCATACAGTCCCAGCTTCAGTTGTCTACCTGCATCACGTTCCTGCCATTTCTGAAATCTACAGAATCATCCTATTTGAGAGTCCTCAGTATCAGAAGAGTAAAATACAGTCATGTTGTGCATAATGATGTTCCAGTCTATGAGGACCATGTATGTGTATGACAGTGGTCCCATGAGATTACAATGGTGCTGAAAATTTTTATCCCCTGGTGACGTTCATCACAGCACTTGTAATACTTTAGCACAGTCCGTTATTCATTGCACAATGCATTTTGATGACGTTACATTCATGGCAGTGCTGGGGGAAACAAATACCTGAGCTGCCAGTTGTACTTCTGTACAGCACAGACAACTATTTACCATGCGTAATATTTGATGGTGACAGTAAACAGCTTTGTTACCTGGTTATATATTTGCTATGTTACCCTTTCATTGTTAAGAAAAAAGTTGACTATAAAACAGTGTCATATCATGTTCACTAACATCCCTGATTACATTATTTTTCTTGTGTGTGAGCTGGTGCTGGTTTGTCCCACATGGTCCTAGGCTCCTGTATACTATATACATGCAGCACAGAGCCTGGCCATGTAGCCAGCGATTCCATCTAGGTTTGTGTGAGTTCCCTCTATGATATCTGCACAACGAAAAACTGTCAACCAATGCATTTTCACCCCCCATCTTTCAGTGATGTGTAACTATATTCCTCAGCCCATGTTTTCTCTATTTGTAGGTATAAGATAAAGAACAGCAAGAGAGAAGGCTATGGATGGAATGTCTTCTCCCTGTGAGCCAAGGCCAGCACAGAGGCTGCAAGAACAAACACGTTCACGAACACTTGGGCTTGGGTTGGATGACACTCTCTGAAACAGGTGCCCGCCCCATGCTGCTGGTATGCCTTTTGCTCTTTTCTGACATGTGATTTTGCTGTTAGGCAAAGATGACTAAATTCTCTAAAACTTTGCTTGTATAGACCACAAAGATTTTGGAAGTTTAAAGAACGAAGAGACCCCAAAAGTAGGTCCAACTAAGGAATCAAAATAAAAAAACTGGATGTCCTATTCAAGTAACTGATAGATTATGTCTACTCTTATAAATCACTGAGAAGCCATGGTGTTTTCTCTGTTCACATACCCGCCACTAGAACATGTGAGACTATATCCTTGACTTGTAAATTCTTTTGCAAAAAATAGTGGTATAGGAATGTGTGTGCTCACTTGGATCAGCATAAACTTGACGGGGGTACACAGGAAACTAACAATGCATTTGCTTACAGGGGGGCAGTGAAGGAATCAGGTAGATGAGCACAGGCTTCTCAATACACACTTTTATATTTTCATATTGTGTTATGTGACTGCATCACCTATCTTTAAAATTAAAAATATTCCTCAAAATTTCTCTCTTTCTATGACATCTTTATATAACAAGCCTAGGCCTGGGTTGAGTGGATTGAAGTAGCGTTGCATGAACCAAGTAAAAATAAGAAGTTGAACCCCAGATCCCACTAGCTTCTGTAGTTATCAATTAGAGAAAACAAGATCTCTAGAAATTGTCTAGTCGATCTCTTTCCTGCTGCCATTTTCCATGGCTTATATCAGGTGAAGCTATAGGTTTTTAGAATTTTTTTTTTTAAAGTAATTCAACTTTATGTAACTTTTCCTTTTGGAGACATTATGGGCATCTCAGCACAGAATTACCTGTGTACATGTTAAGAGAAAAGAAGTGAACCAATCAAATAGGATTCTGGAAGAGAGAGGAAAGAGGAAGAGAGAGAGAGAGAGGGAGAGAGAGAAAGAGTAAATATATACATGTGTGAGATGGACGGGGACATCTGGGGAGATGGTGGAGAAGGACTGGAGGTATTTCCCAGTGTAAACATTAGAGGTTTAATTTTTGCAAAGCAGCTTTTCTGTGAAATATTGCTGACTGTATTTGGATGTTGATAATATAATTCAGTCTCCTTTGGGCATTGTGGGTACACACGATTTTCTTAGTTGAAATGCCTCTTCTCTACCTCAGAATAGTAGAAAGATTGAATAATTTAATATTGGACACTTTCCCTTTTGGGGAATAATTTAAGCACTACCATATGTCTCCTTATTTTGTCCTTCTACTGTCTCTCACAAACCGCTGGGCTTTGGAAATACAGAAACAAAACAAACATAAAGAGACTCACTCGAGACGTGTGTGTGTGTGTGTGTGTGTGTGTGTGTGTGTGTGTGTTTAAAATCGTTCTGTGGTGATTCCCTAATCACTGGGCCACAGTAATTATCCAGGAAGGTGTTTGAAGATCTGCTCCACTGGAGGAGAGTGATAACAACCTTTGGAAACTGCTTAATCTCCAGGAACTCAAATCTATGTGATGATGGATGCTGCGTCAGATGGGAAGAAATGATCACTGGAAGGAGACCCAAGGAAGAACACCTGAAGTGTGTTTATTCCACCACTGGGGTCTGAGCAGTTAGAGCCTGAGCAGTTAGGGCCCGAGCAGTGAGAGCTGTGCCTGAGAGCTGCTGGAACACGCTGCTGGCCCCAGGAACTCTGGTGACAGGGTCTCTTTCCCCCATATTTGCAGCACTTCACCCCATGTGCACAGGTGCTGTCAGCTTCCCAACAACAGAAACCTATTTCTGAAGCTTTCAGATCAGCCTGGAAATCATAGCCTGGTTACCTGATTGTTTTACAGCTCTTTACCTTTTCCCTGCACTAAGGAATTATGTAGATAACTTTATTCACTTCAAACAGCTGCAGAGGTTAAAGTTATCTCCAGTGTGGAGCCATATAATTTACTCGAAAATGCAGTGACTCTTTAAGTACACTTACCTCCTAAGGACTCAGCAAACCAGATTATTCAGGGAGCCTCTTGTCTCAGGAGCTAATTAAATTATATACATTATCAAGACATTTATTTCAAAGATACTGAGGAAACCAGAGTGCTCTTGAAGATGCCTGGGACACTTTTAAATCATGGCCCCCATCAAGATAAGGGTCCCAACCCTTGCTGCACTCAGGATGGGCTGGTGAAAACTCATGTAGAAGTGTTGCCTTGAGACATCACACTGGGTCAGAAAAGGCTACAGGGCTCTCTTGGGACACTTGCTCCCAGCAAGAGAGAGTCCTGTTGGGCAGGCCTTCTGATCACACCTGCTGATCTTGCAACAACAGCCAGCTTCCCCTGGCAGCCCGGGGTAGGACTCCGGGCACACAGCCCATCCAAGGCTTCAGATGGTGGCACTCCTCACCCTTATTCCCTTGTAACCTTGTTGAAACCCCATGACCATGTGGCAGCCAAGTCCTTCCTGAGTTCTTGGCCCACAAAATCATTTCTGAAAACATTAGCAAATTAGTTTTTGGATTACACCTCTAAGCTTTGGAGTAATCTGCTGTAATGTCAATAGGAAAGAACTTTCTCTCCTGGACCTCCTAGCATTCCAGCTGCTTTCTTTCACTTTGAGGCTTGCGTATTGTGGTTGTTTTTACCCATTCTTCCTTGGATTTATCTTTCCATACTTCACACACCCACCACACACACAGTACAATCCTCCCCCAAACTGGTCACTTGGTTCAGTTTCACTACCTGGATCACTGTATTCAACCCTCATTGGTCTGCTAAGAAAACGTGGGTCTAGAGGTATTCAGTTGCCTGCCTCAGGTCACATGGATAAGTAGTGGCCCAGCTGAAAGTAAACCCAGGTCTTGGGATGCTTGGTCCCATCCTTTCCCCGCTTCATTACTTTAATTTCCCACTGACCTCATAAAATAAGATAGCTCACTCCTTTTCTAGTCGGAGGCCATAAACTCAGAAAGTGCCAAACAGGTCCCTGGGTGCAGTGAGGGTGTTCAGAGGACCTGATCCTCAGGCTGCTGGGGATGAGAGCTACTGAGACAAGAAGGGAGAAAGGGAAGTGCCAAGGGGGCCTGGCCTGCACCCACCTTCCTCCTCCCCAGGCCAGTAGAATATTCTGAAGGCAGCATGCTAATTATGGTCAGAGTGCAGGCAGGGATTCCCGAATGTGCTGGCCGAATGCCGGACTGTCTTTTCAAGCTTCTACAGTGGACAGATACCTCTTACAAAATAAAGAGAAATATTTTAAAATGGCATATTCCATATTTAGAATTAGACTCAAAAAAGATGAGCAATTGGGACAAAAGACTGAGAAATTCTGTTAGGCAGGACTGGGCTGGTTCAGTGGGGGAGTGTGTATCTGTGTGCTTTATTTGCCAGTCAACGTCCGAGGCAGGCTGTCATTAATACATTCTCCACCGCCCACTGCCCCAGAGTTGCCCCAATTTTTCTAAGCCCTACAGCATTGTCATTTCATGTGTCTGGCAAGGGAATTAGAGCCAATGAATAAGAAAGCCACCCCCCACACACCCTCAGTAATGCTGTATTTCCATTCCCTTCAGCTATCTTGCCAACAATCAAGTCTCCCTCCTCCACCCCCACCTACCACCACTCTCCTACACCAAAGAGTAAAGGATGATTACAAGTCTCTTTCATGAGGTGTGGCTTGGTTCAATATGTACTGTTGGTTCTGCAAATATGCTGGTGGGAGGTTGACTATGCGTGTTATGTGCCATATGCCACTCTGCTGGCTGGCATGCATGGGAAGCCTGAAAAGCAAGGGAAGGAAAATGGATGCTCCTTCCACTTTTGAAGTAGACTTTAATAATGATTTTTTTTAAAAGCAATGGTTTTAGAGGGAAAAATCACATAATTACAGTTGTGTTAATCGTTCACAATTCCTTTCACTGTGCACAATATATTTCTCAGGAGAAAACAGCAGCAGATTAAATTGACCTCCAGACTCATAATCAAGCCCAACTAGATATATCTCACTACCTGTGCAAATGTTGTAAGTTGAATTTTTGCAAATCTGGCTGTATTTCAAATATTGTCAATGTCTTTTCAGTTTAAACTGGTACCATTTTGGAAAGCAAATAATTATTTTGTAATGCAAATAGTTACTCCCTTACTTATTTGTTTTGTAAGTTTGGGCTTTTGTGTTTACATATTTTTTTCTAAAATCAAGGTGTGTATATGGATAGATAGATAGATAGATAGAAGCAGGCAGTAAGACTTTATTACTAACAAAAGGTAAAACTATAAAATATAAACTAAAATAGTTTTAGCAATTCTAAGGATTTAGAATTTTTTAAATAGTTTTTCTCTAAAGTAAGATTTTGTGCCTATGGAAAAGTTGGACTTTGTAGCACTATTGGTCAGTACACCTGTACATGGGGTAGTATTTTTCTAAGGCAGTCCAGCTACCTGTACCAAATTTTTTTTTTTTTTGGTACCGGGGATTGAACTTGGGTCCTTGCGCTAGCAAGGCAGGCCACCGAAATGCTGAGCTAAATCCCTGCCCCCCCGTAGCAAAATATTGAATTAAATTTTGTAAAGATGTATGTAAAAAGTTTATTATAGCATTGTTCACAAGGACAAAAACCTAGAAGGAACATACAACACCACGAATAGGGAATTTTTAAAATAAAAATAATATATTACTGGCACACAGAGAAATATTACACTGCTGTTAAAAAGGAACCAGCAGTAGTTAAAGAAGTATGATAAGATACCATTTTTGGCCTATACCATGAGCAACAATTTGAAAGTTTGAGAGTTTCTTATTGATGAATGTGCAATAATGAGAAGTATGAGAGAGGGCAATAAAACACCCTATAGTTTTTGCACAAATATTCAAGAAATTAAGATGTTATCCTCAATGTGATATGAACTGGAATTATTTACTTACAAAAAGTCATTCTATATATTTAAAAGATTAAAAAGAGACTTAAAGCGTCCTTAATGAATGTTTTCAGTACCGAGGATTGAACCAGAGCCTTTGTACTAAGCTACAGCCCATCCTTTTTTGTTTGTTTGTTTGTTTCTTTGTTTAGACAGAGTCTTGCTAAATTGCTAAACTGCTCAGGCTGCTGGACTTGAACTTGCAATCTTCCTGTCTCTTCTTCCTGAGTTTGGGATTACAGGCATGCATCACCACACTGGGCTTAATCAACAAATATTAAAGTTTAACTTTCCTCAGATGTTTTTACTGGGAATATCACTGAGGTTTTGTTACTTTGTTTTGTGTTTCTGGGGACTGAACCCAAGGTCTCAGCTACACTACATCCGAAGCTCCTATTTACTGTATTTTAGGGAGAAAGTTAGTATTCAGCTCTTCCAGAGCAAGTTCTAGATAAGAACTTATGTGCCTTAAAGTTAGATAGCTGATTTCTACACGTAATAATAAACATGGTTTATTATTGTTTATTGTTTATTATTGTTGTTATTCACTCCTTGGGTCTCTTTCAGGGGGAAAGTGCACTCTCAATCTAAATTCATTTGATTGAATTAAGTTAAGCATTACTTGGCAGTTCCATTTATGGAAATACACTGTTATTTAAGATTTGATCCTAAAAACTCATTTAATTAATTTGATTAATTATCAACTTTAAAGTGTTCCATGTATAATACAAAAAAATTAGGGTGAAGAACACTCACCAATAAAATGACCATCCTATCTTAACACATAATTATCAACTTCAAAGTTCTTCCATGTATAATATAGAAAAATTAGGGTAAAGAACCATCCTAATTTAACACATTAATAGGCTGGGCATCTATTTTCTTCCAGGAGTTTTTCTTAAAATTGTTATTCTTTTAAATGTGAAATACTGCAAGCATACCAAAAATATAATAAATAGGGTTGTGGAGTGTTGCTCAATAAGAGAATATTTGTATAGCACAATCAACCAACTCCTATTTGCTTCCGTGAGGCAAGTTAGGTAATCTGATCATTCCTCTGCTAAAAACAAGTGACAATGCTAAATAAAATATCGGAACTAAAGATTACTATAAAATGCATCACTGAGTTGAAAGGAGAGTGTAAGATATCAGAGGAAAACAATATGGCAGCAAGAATTTTGAAGGGTAAGAGTGTAAGCGTGGCATTCTCCATGGAGTCATGGGTAGATCACTGCTGGCATTGATCTTAGCTTTTGGTGGTGGCATGGGGTGAAGGAGACAGGAGACCAAGCTCAGGGCCAACCAAAGTGAAATATAATAGAAGAGCCCCAATGGAAAGTGCTAGGTAGGACCTCAAACGGTGATCGTTCAGGATAAGGATGAACTAGACAAAAACCCACCTCCAGACAGCAAGGAAACTTGCTTATCCTGACCGTTATGCTAGGTGGGAGGGTGAAGAATGCTGCTGAGAATCCATAGCCACAAGCAAACCTGCAGAGGGCTTATGGTCCACAGTTTATACCTAACTGTGTGGACCAAACCATCTTCAAGTTGCTTCATCAAATGTGATCTTCTCTGAGAGAAATACATCTCAAATGAGCCCTCAGAAAATCTCTATGATCGCACCAAAGAATATGGCCTGAGCATCAAAACTCACAAAATGCACAAGCACTCAAGACAGTGTGGGGGATGCCCAGGAAACAAACTAGAGAATCATACCCAAGAGAACATTAGATATAGTTATTCATCACACATAAAATAGGTGTATATAATTGGCCAAAAAAGTATTAATAGAAGGGATTAAAATTATATACAAAAAAGCCAAAAGTAATAATCTCCTAATTTGCAAAACAAATACAACTTCTAAAAATAAAAAATGTTACAATTGAAATAAGAACTCAAATGGATTGGTAAAGCAGGTTAGGCATAGTCAAAAACCTGGAAGAAGTTATTCAAAAGGTATGACAGAGAGACAGAGATGAAACATATGAAAGAAAAGCCAACACACTTAGAGTTGATAGGATCTTACATGGATCTGAAAGGGGTTTCAGAGAAAAGACTCAACTACAGTAGTAAGCAGAAAAGATTTCTTTAAAAAAATAACTAAATTATAAATGACTGGGTGACTTAAATGAAAAATAAAGAATTATTATTAAGTTTATTTTTCGGTGTGATATCATTTCATAAGTACCTATAACTCATAGAGGTATATATGTCAAAATATGTTGCACTCCATGCAAGCAGAGCCTGGGTGAAGGAATTGGGAAGCACCTTGTCCTGTAGTATAAAGTTTGATATTTATCCTCTATATGATTCTACGTAATTAGCGACACAATAGCAGTGTCTCCTGAATGTACATTTCCAAACACTTGAGAATACTTTTCAATATGTGCACTCAAAGCCATTTGAACACTTTCATTTTCCAGTATCAGATCTCCTTTTTAATGAAGGCTTAACTTCCAGCCTCCCTTGCATCTCCATGGAAGGATTAAGTCAGGCCACATGGCATCTGCCAGGTCCTGTGATATCTCAGCAATTTATGAATGATAAGCTTCACAAGAGCAGGGTCGTAAGCAGTCATCCTGAAACTAGAAGCCTGGTATTCCCTCCCCAGCAGCACTGAGGTCAGACACATGGATCAGCACTGTCCCTGCTCCTCCCTTTTCCAGAATTTTGCTTCAGAAAATGCAGACCCAGAATCTCGTGGCATTCTCTAATGCATAACCTATGATCAGAAGAAAGCTATTTCTTTCTTCATACTGGCTACACCGAAGGTGTGGGAAGAAAGAGGCTGGCATCAGTGCCAGGGAGAATCTGAACAAGATAGGAGGCCACTGGAAGTTCACCAGCAGGAGAGACTGCCCTTGTGCCCGGCCAAAAGGTCTGCGGAAAAGCAAGGTCATGGGCCTTGTCCATCTGAGTTCCCACTAATAAGCTGAAAAATATGCAAACCAGCAAGTTCACAGAGCAGTTCAGACATTCTTGAGGCATTACTGAGAATTATTTTAAAGCATACAATAAGATTATTGAGGGGCTGGTTTGTCAGTGAGCCACAGCTAGGGTTCTGGGAAAGCAAGAATCTTTCCTGAGGCTGCGCACTGGCTGGGGTCATGGAGAGACACTCACCTCCTTGTGACCAGGGTCATCTGTGTCTGCTCCACCCGACCTGCTCAGTGGCTCAAGACCGTCTTCATTTCCTCCATGTCTTCTGCTACTGAGGCCCATCCAGCACGTTCCTGAAGTCACAGCTGCTTCCCGGAAGTCCATGATTTCAGCCTCTTCCTGGGGCAAAGTGCTGGAGAACAGCAAGGAGAAAGCACAAATCCCAAAGATTGATCTAGGTGCAACAGAGACCACAGTCTCTAAATGGTATTATGGGATAGTACATTGGAAGTTATTTAAAAATTCCAAGTGCTACATAAATAAAAAGCCAATACTGTTCCTATAGATAGTGTGGTTTAGTGGATCCACACGCTGTAGCACTGAGCTGTGGATAAGCTGGTCTCTAAAAACGGAGCCAACCACCACATTTCTTTTTGATGCTTCTAATCCATAATTCAGCCTGGTGGAAACTCCACTAGACTTTGCCATGGACCACAGTTGCTAACAAGCAAGTAGAGTCAGAGCCTTTTATTTTTCAACTTCAGTTATGGTTGGTCAGACAAGAGAATGTTCACATTAATGTGAACAATTTCCAAAGTACTTTTCTTTGTGTGAGATATGTGGGGGTTAATATCTCCACTTTCCAGGCAGGGAATGGAGGCTCAGGGAGGTGGTGCCTTCATCGCAGGTCATACAGCTGGCGAGGAGCCCCTCTGCCACTGTGCAGTTGGCTGTTGCCTGAGGACACTGCAGACCCATGGCAGAGTCTCACTCTGAACACAGAAGCTCAAATAGTTTCATAGAAGCACCATAATGGCTGTTGTCCTTGCCCTGTTTGTGGCTCTCAACACTGCTGAAAAGCAGATTCTGGAAAGCGGTGCTTGCAAATGGAGTGTGTTTGGCTTGCTAGGCCACATTTCACCTGCTGTCCTTCTCTTTCAGAGACTGTGGACTTACAGAAGCTGGACAAAAGAGCACTTGCTCTGGCATCAGGGTAATTGCAACCTGCTAATAGCTTGCTCAGCACTCAGCACTTGTGGTCTAGATGCTATCTCGTTAACCTTCCTGGTGTGTGTGAGGCAAGTGCTCCTGAAGATGCTGCGCCACAAGCAGGTACTCAGTCCTCCTGTGTACCCCATGCAGAACACCTTCAACTCTGCAGCAATTTTGCTGGGTTCTAGGTCCTTTTAAAGGAAATGATTTGGGTGGCAAATGCTACATGTTGCTGTGTTCTGGGTGCAGACATTTAGAAGTCCCTTATCGCTATGTGTAGGGACATTTGCTTCCTTCTAATGACACTGAGTAATATATCAATGCCAACAGCCTGTTTGATGGATTGTTCCATGCTTTGACTTCATGGGCTGGAGGGAAAAAGCCAGGACCAAACAACACTGTTTGGTTGGCATTAATTCAGTTTATACACTTCCTTAATACCTGCAAGCATCAGCAGGTGTCAAGGGAGGTGGGAAGGAAAGAAAGGACCACCGCAGCCCCAGATAAGCTCTTTGAGCACCCACGTGATGGACTCTTCTGATGTCATAAAGGTCTTTCCAAACCCATAGGTGTTTTCTGGGCTCCCTGTGCCATTGGGCAAGGTGTGTGTGCTTTCTGCTGCAGAGGACTGGGCAGAGTGGGAAGGAATAGAGAGGGAGGAATTGAAGGAAAGAAGAAAGGGGAGGAGAGCTGGAGAATCTGTGGAGAGGAGCAGGGGGCTGAGGGTGTGTCTCAGCATCTACTCTTCCTACTTCAGTAAAAGCCTCTTATGACCTGAAAAAGGATATGCTGAGTTGTAAAAGAATGCTGCAAATTCATATGTAGTATCTGCACTCTAGAACTCGTCCTAGAGTTAGGCACAGGGGCACATACCTAGAATCCCAGCTATTCAGGAAGCTGAGGCAGAAGGATCGCAAGTTCAAGTCCAGCCTAAGCACTTAGCAAGACTTTGTCTAAAAATAAGAAATGAGGGTAAACAGATGTAGCTCCATGGTAGTGCATCTCCAGTCTTGGTTCCCAGTGTCACACACACACACACACACACACACACACACACACACACACACACCTGTTTTATAAATTTTAGAAGTAAAAGAAATCCTCAGTTACAATCTCAGTAAAATGAAGTAGTGTATGAATGATCAAATCAAGAATGGACCTTTTACAACAGTTTTAGGTTTTTTTTCTCATTGAGTTTATTGGTACATTTTAGGTATACAGTACAGTTACATTCATCATTGGGATCTTGTACCTTTACATGACAGGTCTTGGTTCTCATTTTTTCCCCATGCCCCTGCCCTCCCTAGTTTTCTTTTAGTGTATTTACATCAGTTTCTGAAGTAATGCAAAAGACTAGCTAACAATAGCTTTTATATAAAATTGGTTTTGAGGAGAGTAGTTATTGTCTGAGGTCAGTTATGATCTAGAGCCATATTTCACAGCTAGTAAATCAACCTGTAATACCATTTGTTTAAGTAGTTCCTTTAGTCCAAGTCTTGGACCCAGGAATGGGGGCCCCAGGCAGAAGTAAGTCCCTATCAGGATGCCTGCTGAACTGCATAATGTGTACAGTTGAGTGTTTTGACATGGACAGAAGGACTGACCAAACCCAATACCCATTCTTCCGTTCTTCCATGGAAAAGTAGGTTCAGATTAGCATCAGTCCTACTAATAAGCACCCTGAAAATAATCAGCCACCATCCCTGAGGCTACATTTCTCATTCTGTGTCCTTGTTCTTAACATGGGCCTAATCACAAAGCTCTGATAAAGTCATGTGTGTTCAACATGAATTATAAACTGGATGGCAGGGTGACACTGCGGCCTGATAGTGCTGAAACAGGTATTTCTAGCTTTAGAAAGATCAAGCTTATGGCCTAATGAAGGTCTGTGGCTGATTCCTTATCTAAATTCCAGTGGCCTCTTTTCCAGCTTAGCATACAACTGAAAACTTCCAGTAGTCGTTTGTTTATTTCCATTGCATTTCAGTAAGTGAATAATAAACTCTTTGAAAGATGCATGCTTGTCCATTCCTGTTCTTTCCAAAGGGACAGACTCTCACCCTCAGGCCAGTCCTCCCTTAAATCCAGCCACAGTTCTTCCTGCTTTAATTCCATTTCTTTTTTCACTTAGATCTTCAGAAGTCATGGAGAGCAACTGTGTGTCATCTCTAAATCCCTCCATGAACTTGCAAACAGGAATGGAGTTCATCCATAGGCTTCTCTCTACGCCAAGCTAAACCTCTACTTGTAACGTTCTATTTTGACTCAGCTTCCCCAATAGTGAATTCTTGACTTCCTTTGGCTTCCTCTCCATTTTCTCTATTACATGTTCTGACACAGTGTTAGGATGTGATCCAGGGTTATTTGTCCCTCACAGTTGCAGGTGGCCTGACAGTTACCACCAAGCTCTCTGCAGGGCCAGGTGTGTTGCTCAGTGGTAGAGTGCTTGCCTGCTGTGCACAAACCCTGGGTTCAACCCCCACCGCTAAAAAACACCAAACCCCAGGACACCTCACTGTGCTCTTTAGGGGGTCCCCTCATATTGTGAGATGTCTGCAGTCACGCTAGACATCTTGTGCAATACAGCGATGCCCAGTCTCTGCCCATGAGTCTCTCCATCCTATAAGAAAAGGCTTTGTCAATGCTGCCCGGACAGCTGTCCTTCGGGCCTCATTGGCAGGACTTGTGCCCCAGGCCATGGAAATGACCGCCCCCCCACAAGGCTTCTGGACCATTCACCTGCAATATCCCAACCGAGTGTGTCAAGGAGAGTTGCTTCCTGAACACATGGGCTTCAAACAAAGGCAAATATCCACCAGCAGAGATGAAGGGGCAGGTGCATTGTTGGCTCTTAGGTAGGCAGCCAGCCGTAAGCAAACAGGACAAAATGATTGTCCATAGAGTTCAAAATATTCAACTAATCTAAGAGTTAGCTCCTTCTCTGTGTGTGTGGGACTCTGTGACTGTCTCTTCTGCCCACCACAGGGCAATATTGACATGTTAGGGGCTGTGTCTTCTCTTCACCTCAGTTGCCAACTCCATAGTGCAAGGACCACACCTTGCTCATCTTTGTGTACCTGCCACCTCTTGCAGTATGGGTCCCTCGAGGCACTCAGTAAATATCTGTTTTGTGTTTTCTTCACACTGAGTTACATACCCAGCCCTTTTTAACTTTTATTTTGAAACAGGGTCTCACTAAATTGTTCAGGCTGGGCACTAATTTGAGATCCTCCTGCCTCAGCCTCCTGGGCTGCTAGGATTAGAGACATGTGGTACCACACCCAGATAAGGATTAGGTTAAGAAAATAAGACTTGGGAGGAACTCTGAGATATGCTTCTCCTGATGTTTGAGACTTTGTGTGGTGTTTTATATTTTATTATTATAGCCCATCTAAAGTTGATGAAATAGAAAATCCTTTTCAGCCTTGGGGGTGGTATGGATTGCAAGGGTCATTTCCCATGAGCTCATTTTTTCGTGTTTTGTGTCTGGATGAAATCCATTTTATGACCGGTAAATTCCATATTTAAACAAGGAGGCCACTCATCCAGTTGGAAAATGTCTGAGGGAGAAAATGAGTGCAGTTATGATTGTCATGATGTCACTGATTCTGGAAGCAGGCTTGTTTTTAAGCACTATAAGAAAACGGTAGTAATTTGGATGAGGAAGAATCAGTCCAAATGAGTGAAAGTCTGTCATGTAAAAGGTCCAGTTTCTATTACTTTCACTTATGTGTGCTAAGAAGATAGCAAAGAGTTGCTTATAAGATTATAAGGGCTGGGCATTGAATGGGTGATTGGTTTCCTTAGTATATTTACTGTATCCCTAAAAATGTTCCTTGGATGGCGAGAGTCACTGGAAAATGAGCTGTTCTTTTCCCCCATATCTTTCTTTTTTCAACTTTCATACAATTTACAGTATCTCCCTCCCCCCAAGCCTGGCAGGATATATTCAAAGGTGCCTGGTGGATACCTGAAATTCACAGACAGCACCAACCATGTATGCTATGTTCTTTCCTATGCATGGGATGCATGCCTGTGATCAAGTTTATAAACTAGAAAAAGTAAGACATTAATAAGAACTTACTGGAGATTTTACCAACCAGCATATAAGTTTTTCTTATGAAGTTGAAAACTTTCACCTTTTCCTTTGAAGGGAACACTTTATAGCCTGTCTTTGGCACATTCAAATTGCCATCATCACCCCCTTTGCACTGTGGGCCATTAGTGAGTAAAACAAGGGTCACTGGACCACAAGCACTACCATGCCATGCCGTGACAGTGGTTCTGATAAATGAACGAGCACTGTTACAGTTGGAATCTTAAGTGTCTGCCAAATCTCATGTGCTGGAGGCTGGGTCCTCTGTGCAGCAGTGTCAGATTTGGGCCCTTTGGTTGGCAGTTGAGTCGTGAAGGCTCTGACTTTATGTCTGGATTCACCCACTTGTGGATCATAGCTTAGAGGGGTGTTGGGAGGTGGTGGAAACTTTAGGAGGCAAGGCATAGTTGGAGGAAACATGCCATGGGGGTGGGTCATGATCCTCTGTCCCCAGCGCCCCCCCCTCCTCGCCAGCGTGAAGGGAGCAGGTTCACTCCACCACATGCTCCTCAGACCACCTCATCACAGGCCTAGAAATTGATGGGACCAAGTGACCGTGGTCTGAAACCTCAGAAATAGACGAAAGAAATCTTTCTTTGTTTGAAGTTGTTTCTCTCAGGTATTTTGTCACGGTGGGGCAAAGCTGTCTAACACAACTGCTGAATGACTAAGAGATGGGTACCAAATATGAGGTGGATACACTGGATGAAGAAATGATTCACTTCCTAGGCAGGTCAAAACAAGACAGTGTGAGATTTCATTATACCATTCAGAAAGGTGTGCAATTTGGAACTTATAAATTATTTCTGGAATTTTCTACTCAGTATTTTCAGACCTCTGCTGACCAAAGTTAAATGAAACCGGAAAGCAAAAGTAGGCACTAGACTACTGTACTCTTCACCAGGAAAATTTGCTTTGACAAATGTAAACGTTAGCTTGGTCCCTATGGAGTTTATTGTAGAATTATGAAAATGTAGAAAAAAATGCTTTAAAAACCCTCTTCAGAGCCACCACTCAGGTTCTGTATGTGTTTCCACATAAGAATGTAATCTTTCTCTTATAAACCAAATAAGAAAAGATAAACATTCCAATACACACCCAGGTCAAAGTCATGAACAGGCTATTCAGGGCAACAAATCATATAAAATAGATTTCTTAATAATTAAATACAAGAAGGTGAAAGCAAGGTGTCACCTGTCAAATCAGCGAAGACTTTTGTAAAAATGTAAGTATATCAAATGCTTATCCCCATGGATGATGAAAACTCAGAGAAATAAGCATTAATGTTTTATCCTGACTTGGAGATAATGACTCTAGCACTGTTCTAGTACAAAATTTTAAAATAATTTTAATGTCCATTAATAGAGATCAGGTTAGTTAAATAATGGTGTCGTCATGTAAAGGAATGATAACATCTATTTAAAAGAATGATGTCTATCTATAAATACCAATTCCTTTAAAAGGTCAAGATACATTACACAAAGTGAGGTCCAGAGCAGAGTAAAAGTTATGTATTCATATGTACACAGAGGTATTAAGAGTCCTGTTTTCTGGATGGTTATAAGAGAAACTGTTACAGCAGTGCTTACTTTTGGAGAAAGGATTAGAGTTAAAGGATGGAAATTTTTACTTTTCCTTTTATACCTTTCTGTATGATTTGATTCTGTGCTAAAAAAATTTCTTTAATTTTAAAACATGATTTGTTTTGTTGCTGAGGATTGAACCAAGGGTGCTGCACATCACCAGCCTTTTTTTATTTTTTACTTTGAGATTGGGTCTCTTTAAGTTGACCAGGGTGCCCTTGAATTTGCAATACTCAGCCTTTATCTATAATAACTGAGATTACAGGTGTGCACCAGCTTAAAACATGCCTTTAAAAAAAAAAGGATAGGTTACTTCTTCATGGTTTTCCATGAAAAAATATCTGTTGTATAAAATGGCAAAGAGCTGGTAAAGAAGGACATTCCACTATGCTAATGATTCGATTTATACAGAAATACAGATGCAGAACAATGCAATGTTTGTAGTAAGAAGCCTGGAAGCAGCTAGTACAGTGGTGCATACCTGTAATCCCAGCTACTAGGGAGGCTGAGGCGGGAAGATTGCAGGTTCCAGGTCAGTCTGGAGGCAGGAATATCCCTGGAAATGTAGCTTGGTGGTAGGCAGTGAGTACTAGCCTTCAACCCCCTATACCTCAGAAAACAACAGAAAAATAAAACAAGCCTGGAAAGATTGACCTGAGCTATCTATCAACATGGCAGTCCCCTAGATAGAGGTGATGTGTTGAGATTGCAGAAACCTCCACTTTCTCTGTACTGTTTAATTTTGTTCAGCAGTAGTGAATTATCAAAGAGAAAAACATTTTTCTGGAAGGAAAAGTGAAAAAAGAAAGACCCTCCCACTCCATTTTGCATGAAGCCTCCAGGATGCTCTATGCAAAAGCAAGGGTTTGGCTGTCTCTCACCTAGCTCTGCTAAGCTCACTCTATATTTCCCTTTTAAATCCCACCTGCAGGGAATTGAAGCCTTTGTAGTCAGAGTAGGATAGGTGAGAAATCTCACCTTGGATCCAACTTATCTACCTTCCTCTTACCCAACTAGAAAAACTGGAAATAAAAAAATCCAAAACAGAGTGTTCAAACAAGATTCTCAAAACTAGCCTAACCTGTAAATGAAATCAGTGTGTTTTAGTGGCTGGTGGATTTGTGCTAAAAGCTGGCAGCCAGCTGAACTAAAAAGAGCACAGCCAGAGCCCAGGCCTGTTTCCAGAGACCACTTGTCCCTCACTCTTGGATCCTCCTTGTTTTTCTCACCCACTTGTGGTAGCCATTTCCCCAGCCTCAGAGGTTGCTGTGAGAATCTGGTGGGGGGAGGAGAGCTATGGGGAAAAGGAGGTTCACCCATGTGTAAGCCCTGGAGTGTACGTAAGGCTTGTGTTGTGGGTTTGTTATGAATATTGCCTAGAAAATGAGGAGAACCCAAAATGTTCATTAATCCTAACATGCTCTGATATTACATAAAAGACACTGAGTACTCAACACCAACAATTTCTCTTTTCATTTACTTTTTATCTCAGTACCTCAAAAACACTTAAGTACGTTAAGTATTGTATTATAACCATATAATAATGGGTATGATTGCTCTTGGGCAACCAATATTACCTGTGCTGATACATTTCCCAGCACCTCTCCTTCCCCATCAATAATAAGGGCAAGGGGAGAAGCTCAGTGATCAAAGGCTTGCCTGGGATGTGCAGGACTGTAATTTGGTGCCCAGCACTGCCAATGAATGAATGAATGATTGAATGAACGAATGAACAAAGTGTTTCATTACTAGTGAGAGACACTGGCAGCAAGACAAGGCTTCTTGGATGTGTCCCAATGCTGGAGGAGAGTTTTGGAACAAGAAACCTCAGTTTAAAGTACAAATCCAATTCCTGAGGGAAACCGGAAGAGATCTGAGCAGGTGCACACATGGGGAAGTGGCCAAGAAGCTCTAAAGTCCAAGCTGTTACTGTATTCATCCTATGGAGCAGTTATCCTTCACCATTTGTTTGAATCTTATTACTACTGTAGTTACAGAGCACTTTACATGCCGACCCACAAAACAAGGAAGATTAGACTTTCTTGAAAGTTGAAAAATATTCAAATGACAAAGTAGACCACTCTCGTTACCTGAATTGTGCCCCCCCAATACATTTCAGTCTTGGCCCTGGTGCCTCAGTTGTGACTTTTGCTGGAAATAAGGTCTTTAAAGAATTAACCAAGTTAAAATGAGATCATTAGAGGGGCCCTGATCCAGGATGACTTGTGTGCTTATGAAAAAGGAGGCAGGGAGTTGGAATGATGAATCTCCAAGGTGAGGCACACTGAGACTGAAGGCTTCAGAGGGAACAAGGCTCGTTTCTATTTAATAAAGAGACACAGCCCAGCTTGGGATACTTTGTTACAACAGCTCTAGGAAATGAATACATCCACGGAAGTCACCATGTTAACAATGATCAGAGAGCAGAGGAAGAGTGAAACCTCAGCTGATTCCAGTGTGGGATGCTTGTGTGACAAAATAAGTAACAGGAGTGTGTGGTTTCTCCATGGAGGCACTGGGTTTTTCTGAGAACACCAGACCTTCGGGTAGTTCCTTTCCTGTGGATTGCAGAGACCCAGTCAAACCTGCCCTTTGCATCAGGGCAGAGGAGAGGGCCCTGCCAAGCTGGCCATTGCTGGACCCTGTGCCAGAGCTAAGCACTGTACACGGGGCTGCTTGAGGCCAAACTAGAGACAAAGATGGCAGCGCCAGGCTGCCTTGGAGGGAGAAGTCTCGAGTCTAGACACCAAGTGAGATAAGAATTAGAGGCATGAGGCTTCACACAAGGGTTTTTATTGTCGTTCTTATTTTTTATTTCTGTTTCTTGTTTCTCTTTTAAATTTTAAGTCTTCCTTACAGGGAAACATGAAGGCAAACTAGAACACCCCACATGCATAATTTCCATGTGTATATCTGTGAGCTATAATCGATTCCTGACTCTGTGTATGTGTTGTTCTATTGTGCAGAGTCAGTTCTTAGCTCTTCCTTTCATTACCTCTTGGAAGCCAGGAATTAAAGGCAAAAATCTGCACATGTGGAAAAAGAAAGTCTCCTGGACCAACAAGTCCCAGCGCTAGTGCCTCTACTTAGTGGCCCCTGGGTCTAAAAGCTCCCTTCCCAGGGAGGACCTCTGGCTGCCTGGGGGTGGGGGGTCCCCTGCCCAGCCCAGCCTCAACCTTATTTGTGCTGCACAGACAAAGGCACGCCAAGGCTGGAGTCTTGTCGTTCACCCTTTGGCAATCTTGAGAACCAGCACTGTACCTTTTGTCTGTGGAGTAAGCCGGGTGGGAGCCAGGAAGGAGCCCAGAAAGCAGTGTGGCCAACCTGCGGTCATCTCTCCTGTTTACCTCACCTGCCAAAAAGGGACTTCTTTTGTCAAAATAGAATATGTGTGAGAAGTTCAGGCTGGTTGTTTGAGGAGTTTGAACTGCTAGGCCTTTCCTCTGTGTCTTGGTTTCAAAATCAACAAACCCACATCTGCCCGAAAAAGGAAAAATGGAGTCATCTATGTCATCACTCTTCTTCAGCAGAGCAGCGCACCAGTGACAGGACAGGCTCCTTGGTCCCTGCTGTCCCCAAAAAGTGACTGGAGGAAGCTTCAGAGGCTGCTGACCCATAACACCCCTGGTATGGGGGTGTGCAGAAAGGCCCATTTATTTGGTCTTTTTTCTAAGATCAGTCTGGTATAATTGTTTTCTGAGAGCTTCTTGTTCATCTGGTTTTAAAATACTTATTATTCTGCCTCCCCACCCCTAGAGAAAAGCAAAACGACTACAGGGTTGACTGCCCTGGGTTTTTCCTCTGCAGTACAATCAGAGTAGCAAGAAGGTGGTTCTAAAAAACGGGATTTATTTATAAATATAGTTGGAAATATTTTAAAAATAAAAAATGCCCAGGGCGAGGCCAGGTCACTGCCCCATGGTGAGAAGCGGGATGTTTACAGGGAGGCGGCCCGGCACCTCCCCTGGGGAGCTGCACAGTGATTTGGGGTCAAGTGGAAACGCTCTGCCGCCACTGCCCTGGCGCTTCGGATTCCAGGGAGTCCGGGCCAAGACTACAGCCAGGCTGGTGTCACTCGCTCCGTGCTTTCAACACGCTGAGCTCGCAGTGAGTGAGACAAACGCCGACCGGGTGGTAATTACAGAGCAGCTTCACAGTCGCGCCCTGCTTCCTCACCTTTATTTCCTCCTCCTTCCTTCCCTTTGTGTCACCCCCTTCCCTTGCTGGGACACAGGGGAGGGGGAAGTTGTTAGCCACTCGGCAGCCTCATCTTCCCCTCCAGTCCAGGGAGGAGCATTGCTTCAGTCGCCTGAAGCAGGGTGCGGAGAGGATGTTTGGTCAAAGGGCATCGAGATGGGAAGAGGAGAATCCAGGAGAGGAAATGAGGGGCCAGAGATAAAGAAATAAGAGCCAGGAGGAGGGAAATAAATAGAAACGCAGATGTTGAATAATGCCAGGTACAGAATAGACAGGGAGCAGCATGAAAAAGGAGCGAGACAGAGATTTTTTTGCAAAAAGATACAGTTCGAAAATAGAAAAATGTGAGAAACCTGAAAACAAACAAACTCAGAAGCCCTTACAGGAAAGCAGAGAGCCAAATGGAAGTAAGAAATAAAACCCCAAACAGGAAGGACGTCTGAATGAGAAATGCAAGCCAGCGAAGGAACAGAGAGGCCTTTGTGTTGTGTTTGTAGATTAGAGGGAAAACGGCAGAACAGAGAGAATCCTAGAGTGTTTATTCCTTGCACCTGGCAAACAAAAAAATCATTATTTTTTAATCATGGAAGAAATATCTCTAAGAGCACCGGGCCTTTCCTGCCACAGGCCTGTCGCTCACTCATCTTGATCCCTTAGGACACTTTTAAAAGCATGAGGAAACTCACCACCAGGAAAACCGAATTTCCACCTAGATGATTTTTATATTAAGTTTATTTCATAAAGAGGCCTCACAGTCCTTGTAGTTTAAGCTGGGTCACCTCTCCCAGGTGGTGAATAGTCTCAAGCTTCCTAGTTCCTGTGAAGCCCAGGGACATCTCATGTGAGATACCTTGCTCCGTCTCTTAAAAATAAGGATAAAAGATGAAATGATTATTTACATTCATTCCACTTCAGAAGCCTGCCTTGCCATTAATAAGTTAGAGGTTGACTTGTAAGTTTAAATAATTTAACAAATGGAGTAATAAAAAAATGTAAGTAAAGCGTAAACTGAAAAATACAACACATGCCCAGGAGAAGTAAAGATTAGTTATTTCATTACTGCAAATTGCTGTTACCAAACATTATGATAAATTACCGAAAAGATACCTCTCTACCCCTTTCTATAATTTCAGGTTATTAATTTTACTCACATGCAAGTATTTCCTTGTCTGCCTCTCTGGCCCTTTTGCTCTAATGAGGAAACAGGAAAAAAATATGCAGCAGATAAAATGCCCAAACCGGGGCTGAAGCAAATGAAAGAAGATATCAGAAACAAATAACATTATCAGCTTTTAGCTCCATAATAAGCTCTTATTTATTTAGACCCTATTAATTTGGAATTTATAATAACTTGATTGGGATCTGGGCACAAATTTTCCTTCATTTAGCAAGCCTTGTCTGGCTAAGTAGTGTAGAAAAATAATGTAAATGAGATTATAAGGGGAATGCTTGAAATACATCTTGGAGCACTTCAGGCAATCCCTTATATATGAATAATTAATATAAGAATACATATTATTCTTACCCAATAATTATCTGGTAATTCAGGAGGAATTTGTTAGGTCATCCTGCAGAGCAGGGTAGTGTGGGTTTGTTACTAAATAGCTCTATGACCATAGGCAAAGCATTTAACTTTGCAGGCTTGATTTTTCTTACCAGTAAAATTAGACTGATAATGCCAACTCTGCCTAATTTGAGGAGCTGTTATGAGCATGAAATGAAAGAATGGGTGGGAATCCATTTTAAAATGCATGCATAAGGTAGTAGGAAAACCTATTTTATGTAAAGTGAGTTTGAAATTCATACTTTCCACTGATTCTGTATCACCTTTCTTCCAGTAGTCTAGATCAGTAGGTTTTATGCTTTATACAACTTCAGCAAAAGGACATTTCCTAATAAATTGTGAGTGTGTGAGTGTGTGGGGGGGTGTTTTTGTGTGTGTTTTGGGTACACTCAATATACCTAAGATGGCACAATTGAAAAAGTTATTGTGTGTAGTTGAAAGAGTCTAAGTGTCAGAGTCTGTCAGGCTTGGGTTCAAATTCACAATCTTTTACACAGATGATTTAGCTAGAAACAATTATTTCAGAGTCCTTTTCACTATAAAAATGGGGCCATCCATTCAGAACCCCTCCTGGAAATCCAGGAGCTATTCTCCTTCTTTTTCCCAGATTTTCTAACCTCCAAAAATATTTAAAATGGATAAAACTATCCTTTGTATAGATTTTTAAAAAAACAATTAAAAGAAATAATGTGTACAGATAGCACAGTGCCCAGCATAGGGTGATACTAACATGATAGATATGTTACTTGAAGTAGTATTTACACTGGAGAAATACCAAGACTCCTCACTTCAAATCTCCTTCCCCTATTACAGTTTGTCTCCCAATATATCAATTCAATAGAAAGTTATAATTACAACATCCAATTCCTTTACAGATAGCCAGTCTATATTGGTTATGGTTAAATATTTGTTGCAAAGCATTAAAACAAGGTTTCCACCATTCTAAGACACCTGCTTTTCACATTTGAATGTTTTGAAAATCAGAAGGAGCTTTACAATCATTGCCAAAATGAACATGCCAATTGTTAGGTAGAGGAGTTGCTAAGAGGAATTGTAGTTTGCTGCAATGGGTGAATTCAGCTAAAGCTTTGGAATAAAGGACTTTCAAAGTCAAGAGATGTTTGTTCTTCACTCAGATGTAAAACACTGTCTGTCAAGCTCCTTCAGAAAATAAGCAGTCAAACGTCCTGTAAGAGGTAATCAATTAAGGACAAAATGTTAAGATTTCTTCTGAGTAGTGTTAAAGAGGTCAGTCTCAGAGATGTTTTTGTGAAAGTGTCCGCTCTGCTTTGCAAAAACTACCACTGTCTGGTGATTCCAAGGAATTTTTACAATGTGACTGAAGATAGGTAATTACATGAAAAAAATGCATGCTGCTTTTTGCCAAAAGTTGTACATATTTAAGGTTTCACCTCTTTTTGTTCTCAATGAATAAATTAATGAATATTTTAATTAAGTTAATGAATCTCCTTTCTTTTAATTGACACATTCACTAGAGAAAGTGTCTTGCTTTTTCAATCACCTAAAAACAGAGTGATATAGAATAAATTTATACTTAAGATGTTTTACTTTCTTGCATATGTTATAAAATTATAGTTTTGTGTATCTATATGTTTAGCTTGAACAGTTGAAGATTTGTCAAAATATAATAAGGTATAGTTTTCAAACTAATGAGTGTAACTGTTTATACTTTAATTATACCTTCTTTACAGGTTTTGAGCACTTTGCAATGTTATTTAATAACAATAAAAGGGGCATTTATTAAGCAATTACTATGTGCCAGTTATTTGCTCCTTTAATCTTTAAAAGACTAAATGAGGGTGTGGTGATGAATGTCTATAATTCCAGAAACTTGGGAGGCTGAGGCAGGAAGATTGCTTGTTTAAGGTCAGCAGAGACAACTTGGAAAGACCTTGTCTCAAAATTTTCAAAAAGTAGGGGCTGGGGATGTAGCTCAATGTCAGACCACTTGCCTATCATGCATACAAGCCCCTAGGTTCAATCTCAGGCATAAAACAAAAATAATTAAATGAGTTATTGTCATTTTTACCAATGAAGACACTTATATGATGCATATATAAATTAGTTACATGAAATCATATAGCTAGAAAATAGCTGAGGGAAAATTGGCACTCTGAAAATCAGACAGGCTAAGCAATTTGACTCTATCCCACAGCTTATACGGTAAGTGAGTGAGCCAAGATTCATACGTGCCTGTCTCCAAACAGACAAGGTGATGCCTTTTTTCTTAGGGACGTGGCTTTCTTACTATCCCAGGACAGGGCTGCCCAAGAGTGAGTGAAGCCTGGGAGGGAGGAGAACCGTGGGAGCAACTCCTAGAGCCTCCAGGGGCTCAGCACTGACCATAGAAACTGGCCTTCTAAAATTGGAATTTTCCTCTTAGAGTGACATTTTTAGCTACTATGGGTGCAGTCGGTGAAGTTTAATTCACATTCATTGAGACATTATGTCCCAACTTTTCTCTGACTTGGAACATATTTTCCTCTCTCCCTGTCCCCTTACTTCTTAGCCCCTGTGCACTCACCTCCTTTAAGGAAAACAAAAAGCAAACACACTCTCTCTCTCTCTCTCTCTCTCTCTCTCTCTCTCCCCATCCCCTGACTCTGGCTTTGGGGAGTGTATTTCTCAGAGCTCCACTTGAGAAGTCGCTGTTGTCTTCTTGCTCAAAGGGGGCCTAACAAGATGGGGTGGTCGTGTTGTGCCCCTTGAGCCAACCTGGAAGGCAAGGTCAGCCTTAGCCTCCTCCGTGTCTTGCCATTCATACATTAATGTTATCTTCTATAGATTTCAACTATAGAAAGAAAAAATATGTGCTGGTTTCATCAGCAGTTTTAGGCTATCTCAATCAGCTGTACTTTTCAGTATTAGGAACTAAAAATTATTATGATTGGGTCAGCTCTACTACCTGGAAAGAAACCTTTTACTCTTCCTGATCTCCCTTCGACAATCAGGGTGAGGACCTAGGAGCCCAGGGGGGGTAAAAAGATGCTGAGAGACAAAGCACCATCTGGGCATTTTTAGAACTGGAGAACACTTGTACTAGTGTAGCTTGAGAAAGTTTGTGTGATTTCTCTAGAAGTTGGATTTTAAAGTCCAAAGGAAAACAGATATAGGAACAATTTTACAAAATTGCTGATTTTTGTGAGGATTTAACTTTCTCCAGTAATTTTTACCTGTAGGAATGTTCCAGTTTCTACATGGTTCTCTCTTGATAAATGTCACAGATAATAGTGTGGATTGTAAAGAAAGAAAGTTGAGGTCAGCATCAACCTACACACAAAAAGTTAAAAAACTCTTTAAAAATTTCAATGAGACCTCCCAAAAA